ATGAGTTAGTCCTATGACTTTGGATTGAGTTTTGGTTGATTTGAACTTAATGAACTTGAAATACAATGTTGATTCAAGTGTTTGCATGTGAGTTTTAAACATAAAAGTTTTTCATCTTATATGTTTGTTGAAATGAACATGAATGAGTTTCTAAACTAATTTTACATTTTAAATTTTTCAGAATCGTTTCTATACTGTTTTGCCTCGTATTATTTTACCTTTAAAATAGACATCCTAAGCTTTAAGTGGTTTAAGAATCATGGAAAAAGGATTTTTTTTTACAATTATTTATGATTTTCACATGTTCGTGCAAAAATCTGTCAAATTCCTAACATAAATTTTGGTCTGGAGTTCAGGCTAATTTTGATGAGTCTAATGAATCTAAAACCTAGCTTATAATATCTCTAAAGAAAGCCTCATGAGTCTACTTTGATTTGACAGTAGTTTTGTAATTTTTGGAATTTCCTACAATTTATCATAAATTTGCTCGTAACTGAGGTCGAATCAGCCCATTTGACAGAGTTTGTGTTAAGAGACCAACTTTTGTAACTTTGAGAAATTGAAACTTGGACTATGTTTTGAGATTTTGTGGCTTGATTTTGCTAAGATGTTCACGCATGAGGATCTTAATAAAAGTTTATTATCAGATAGATTTATAACAGAGAATGACTAAAAAGGATATGCAGATTATGATTTTGAATGTGAATATTAACTTTTGGTTTTACAATGTTAGTTTGATTTTGATATATGACCAGCCTAAGCATAAGATGTTTTGTGATGGAATTAAAGCCAATAATTATTAATAAATAATTCCTAATTGGACTAGTTACGTTAACCTATTAATTTCTTAAACTTCTTGTTAGTTTAGAGATTGTCTATTAAATAGCCCCTTGAAGAAGTTGAACCCAACACCGCTTTTTGAAAATTCTAATCTAAAGGGTGAAATTCCAATAGGTGAGGTTCATCATTTATCTAAACTCGTGAGAACGAAATTATTTCTTAGGGCGTAATCGGTCTATAGACTTGACACACATGATTTTAGACAAGTGTGTGCCTCGAAAGAAAAGGATCAATATTAATTAAAGTGAATGTGATAACAGGATCTCGGACATCGTGGAATTGAGGATCTCAATCCTTATCTTATTCAAGAGTAGTTTTTCTCCAAGAAAGGTAATTACAGGTACTCACCTACAACACAAGCACAAAGTATATCTATAATGATGTGTATAAATATACTATGAAAATTCTTTATGATATTATGTACTTGTTTGTGCATATCTATGCTATTCAATTATGTCACTTGACTTTCAAGTCCATTTGATGTGACATGCTTTCTTGTCGTGATTTTAATACGAGGCTTAAAAAAAAGTGATGTTTTTAAGCGTCGTACCGAGACCAAGATCTCTCCATATTGATGTTATGTACCGAGACCCAGGTCTCTTTATGTTCACGTTATGTTATGATGCCACTAGCTAACTTGGTTAGGGTCGCTCCCTCAGTCCCCCAGTTAGTTACGTGCAAGGTACGTACGTAAGGCCCAAATTCATGGTTTTCAAGACAAGATTTACATGTTTTATAAAACATCTATGTATGAGACTACCTATGTTATTTTATGTGAGTTATTTTTTGAAACATTTGATGTGACATTATTTTTCTATTATGTGGTTTTTTTTTTTATTTTAAGTAAACATTTCTTCTAAGATGACAACTCCGCCTATGCGTTTGTATAGCCAGTCCCAAGCCCCTATACATTTGTATAGCCGGTCCTAAGCCCGAATAAAGGAGCAGGATTGTGGTAGGTTGACGGCTAGCTTAAAAATAAGTCACACTCATGGATTTCACTCACATAGAATCTGTTGGGGTGTTCCCTACGTGCGACGTGCTATGCCGGGCCCCGGGTATAGTGTTAAATAGACAATGGGGTCTTCGCACATTCATGGACGTGTACGGGGAGAAAAGCGATCCCATGCGCCATGTCGAGCCCATGCGCTATGGATAGGAGAGAAAACAAAGGAGATTGGAAATTTAGGACACAAGTTATGGTGAATAGGTTGGGAAAGGAATCGTAATGAAGTTGGTATTCTAGTGGACAAAACTGTGAAGGATGACGTAGTTGAGATTAAGTGAATAGGGGATAGAATTATTATGCTCAAATTGATACTAAGAAATAAAGTCATCTATGTAATTAGTGTTTACGCTCCACAAATAGGATTGGATGCGGGAACTAAAGTCAACTTCTGGGAAAACATGGATGACTTAGTGTGTTGTATAAACAATGAGGATAGCATTTACATTGGAGGAGATTTCAATGGGCATGTTGGTAAGGATAGGGAAAACTTTGAAAGGATCCACGTTGGTTTTAGTTTCGGAGTTCGAAACGAAGGAAAATCTATTTTGAAATTTACGTTAGGACATGATTTTATCATAACAAACACTTTTTTTAAGAAAAGAGATTCTCACTTGATCACTCTTAAGAATCAGAGGAACTTAAGCCAGATAGATTATTTTCTCATAAGGTATAGAGAATGTTCTCTATGTAAGAATTGTAAAGTAATTCCTAGAGAAGTACTAGCCACCCAACATGGGTTAGTGATCTTAGATGTGAGCATTAAGCTTTGCTATAGAAGGACTAAGATAAACCACCTCCCATGAACTCGTTGGTGGCATTAGAAGGGAATAAAGTAATTGACCTTTAAAGAGAAGTTGTTAGATGAGGCTACTTGGTCATATATAGGTAATGCAAATACTATGTGGGATGCCATGGCCAGCTGCATTAGAAAACTGGCAAAGGAGGTACCAGGAGAATCTAGAGGTAAAGGCCTCCCTGGGAAAGAAACCTGGTGGTGGAGTGAGGATGTTCAAAATGCTATTAAGACCAAGAGGTATTTATATAGAGATTTACCAAAGTGTAAGGATGTTGAAACTTTTAATAAGTACAAAGAAGCGAAGAAAGAAGCTAAGCGAGCAGTTGGTAAGGCTCATTCTACTTACTTAGATGAGATATATAGAAAACTTGGGAATAGAGAAGGAGAGAAAGATATATATAAACTAGCTAGGATAAGAGAAAGGAAGTGCCGGGACCTAAATCAAGTGAGGTGTGTTAAGGATGATACAGATCAGGTTCTGACAAAAGATAAAGACATTAGGGAAAGGTGGAGGAGTTACTTTTAGAAGCTTTATAATGATGATCATGCGATACAGTTTCTCAATCTTAGGTCACAAGGAGAACCGAATGTGATGTATACAAGAGAAATCAGAGGCTCAGAAGTTAAAACTGCCCTACGGAAGATGAAAAAAGGGAAGACATGTGGGCCATATGATATTCCAATAGAGGTTTGGATGGCGTTAAGAGATGCTAGAACTGTGTGGCTCACTAAGCTTTTTAATGAGATACTAAAGAAGAAGCATATGCTTGATGCATGGAGGAAAAATATTCTTGTCCCTATCTTCAAAAATAAAGGAGATGTGCTGAATTGTAACAATTATATGGGCATAAAGTTAATAAGCCACACTATGAAACTTTGAGAGACAGTTATTGAAATGAGATTAAGGGCCACAACTACCATCTCAGGTAACCAATTTGGCTTCATGCTAGGCAAATCAACCACGGAAGCCATTTTTCTTCTTAGGATGCTGATGGAAAGGTACAGAGAAGCCAAGACAGACCTACATATGGTCTTTATGGATTTAGAAAAGGTATATAATAAGGTGCCGAGGGAAATTTTATGGTGGGTGCTAGGAAAGAGAGGAGTGCATGTGAGGTATATCAAGGTAATTAAGGACATGTACGATGAGATGGTCACGAGTGCGAGAACTGCTAGAGGCTACACAACAGAGTTTCCCATTCGGATCGGCCTTCATCAAGGATCTGCTCTTAGTCCTTATCTTTTCATCATCGTGATGGATGAACTGAGAAGAGATATCCAAGATAGAGTTCCTTGGTGTATGCTTTTTGCGGACGATATAGTTTTAGTTGATGAACATAGGGAAGGAGTTAACCGTAAGTTAGAATTGTGGAGACAGACGCTCGAGACGAAGGGACTTAAGTTAAGTAGGATGAAAACTGAATACATGCATTATAGGTTTAGTACCTCAAGTAATCAGAGTGATGGAATTTTTTTAGATGGTGTGGAGATTGGGGCTTCTAGGAAGTTTAGGTACCTTGAGTCTATAGTGCAGTACGAAGGAGATATAGAAGAGGATATTCAACATAGGATTAAGGCAGGGTGGTTTAAGTGGAAGAATGCTAAGGGAGTTTAATGTGATGGCAAGATGCCTATTAAGTTGAAAGTGAAGTTCTATAGGACTTTAATCGGCCCAGCTATGTTATATGATAATGAATGTTGGGCCATTAAGAGACAACATATATCTAAGATGAGTGTGGCAGAAATGCGTATGTTAAGATGGATTAGTGGCCATACGGGAATGGATCGCATAAGGAATGAAGTTATTCGTAGTGAAGTAGGAATGACAATATAATTTCTCTGTCGTTGTTCCAAAGAAGACAATTTGGCTTATGTTACTCCAAATTTAATACCTATTGCAGTAGTTTTCATCAAAAAATTTATATATATCGCAATATTTGATAATAAGTATTACCAATATGCCAATATTGCCTCGAGTAACGTGTGCAGGAAGCGTAGACTTGGGGAAGTCCACGTCAACAAATAATAAAATGCAATTAAAAAGTAAATGAAATGTTTTGAGCTGGTGGAATTTTTCACCTTTTTTCTTCATCCTTTTGTTCAATCACCTTCTTTAGTCTGATCTCTTTCGGCCCAGTTCGGAAGACGGTGATGAATATAGGTGGAACTTCAAACTCATTACTGCATGCGTGTTAGTATACGATATTTATATTAGGATCGATCAAGTCAAGAATAACCAAAGAAAAAGAAAAGAAAAGTATTTCTGAAGAAAATCCCACCTGTAACTGCAAGTGATTTGGAGAACATCCACGGCCCTCGGGCCACTTTCAACTATATTAGGGAGAAGAAGTTCGACTAGGACCTTGCGTACCTCTTTTCCGTAGAGATCACCATAGAAAATAGTAACTGCAGAGTTTTCGGTCTTGATTGGATAGTTTCCGGCGAGCACCTTCTTGATTATCGATTCTCCGTCGACTTGTTCGATTGTTACCCGCAAGTCCTGAACCACGACGGTGAGAAGCCCAGCCAAACACTGGGAAAATGCAATGAGCAAGTTGTTCTCATTTTGCAAATCTGAGAAGGTTCCTCCATTGCTGTTCATCGCGATCTCTTCTAGCACCTATATTAGTTATAATATTATATCGATGACAGACGAAACCCCCATTCGTTTTATTGGTTCCAATCATAATTTTAATTTTTATTACTGTAGTTTATCTCAAAAAAATTTAAATTCAACTTTTTATGCTACAGTATTTTTTCTCATATTAATTCATATTTCAACTCGAGTTAAAAACTCAAACCAGTTAAAAGAACAAGACATAAATTTTGCAAATTAAATACATATACTCATACCCTTTGCTTGTGGCTTACACCAAAGCCGAATGTGTATACTGGCACCATGCTAACATCAACCTCGGCAACTTTACCTCTATTTTCGGCACCGTCAGAAAAAAGCATGATGGCACCCACACGCCGATTCGTGAAACGACGGTCATTGAGCACTTTTAAGGCCATTCTAAGGCCCTCAGCAATATTTTTGTCAGTATTTTTTCCTTTTAAAAGTCTGATCTCCTCTATAATCTCGGCTTTAGAATCTTCAGTTATTTGGCGCAGTGGGAACAACATGTTCGAGCTATCAAAGAATGTGACAACTGAAAAACGATCAACGGGGCTAAGTTTCTCGATGACGAATTGCGCGGCGATTTTCAATTTGTCTAAGTTGCCTCCCTCATGCATGCTTCCACTGAGATCTATTACCATCACTAGATCAAGTCCAAGTCTTGCTTCGATAATTTCTGACTCCGTCAACTCTAGTAACACTTTAAATATGGTTTCTTTAAGTGGTGCCTCCATGTGGTTGATGGCTGCAATCTGTAATTTTCCCGCTTCAAAAGCTAAAGCTTTTTTCCCGGAGTTATGCACATGGAAAGAAAAGTTGATTCATAATTATCATCTTAATTAATTAGAATCAAAAGTTTTGAGTGCATTTAAATTGTAATGAATAAATTAAAAAAAAAAAAAAAAGCTTGTTATGTGAATGAAGAAATGAAGAAAACATAAACCTGAAAAGACATCTTCGAGTATGACAATTTTCTCATCATCGTCCAAGCTCATTTTCCCGGAAAAAAAATGATAACACTACTAATCAAGCTATTTGAGGAGCTATCTAAGCTGTTCAATGAATAAGCGCCAAATAATTCAATCAATAATTGATCATTGAAGAAAAATACAAAAATTATATATCATTATTAGGCTTAATTAATAATATACTCTTGAAAAAACAAATGTTAATATTTCTTTCTCCTTGTTTCTGAATGTTCAGATCATGAAAAGGAAATACGTACCTCACAAAGTGTTTAAGTCTGGAGCTTGATTATTGATCAGTAAAGACCGTTTGAGAACCAATTAAACACGAGAAAAGAATTTTCAGCTAACAAACGAGAAAATTGACATCCTAATTAAGTTGAATCGGCACAACGGTAGAAGATTAATTCTCTACGAACACTACCAAATTTGATGAAAAAAAAGAACGAAAAGCTGCAAAAAGTTCATGATGAATATCAAAATACTACTCTTAAGGAAGAAAGACGAAATTAGACAACACAACACTAACAAGAGCCATAAAAAGAAAAGCAAACGCAACAAATACAAGACATTAATTAGGGATAAAATAAACAAATGATAATGTTTCTTAATGTCCATGAAAAGAGATAACTACATAAAGTACCTTTCAATGGAAGAGTTCAAACTTCAAATCTTGAGTTTCATGAATGTAGATGAGAGAACCATGTCCAAGAGAAGAAACGAATTATTATATGGAGACGCGTATTGTGTTTTTGCAATTAGCATCTCTTTTCCCCAATTCAATATAGAACACAATTTGGTTGACATGAAACTTCGCTTTTAATATAATTATGGCACCATTTACTAAATAAATAATTATTTGCAGATCCAAAGGCCATTTGTCTTCTTTCTTTTTTTTTTTTTTCATTTCTCTATTTTTTACAGATCATCAGCTGAATTATTGCTTTTCCACATGGGGAGCAGCCTCCGAGACATACATACATACATAAATTACATATATATATAGTCATAAATGATATCCATATTAATCAATTAACCAATCACAATTCATAGACCAACTTGTTAAAGTCCACATTGTTATAAAAAATCCTTTTATGTAAAACATCTCTCAAAATTTCGGAAATATTCATGTTAAATCCCCAAAAATTAACAAATTAATAAACAGAAACGTACTTGACAATAAATTTCTCTCTTTTAAGGTGTTGTCGTTGGCGGCATGTGCAAGTCCAAATCCAAAGTGTGAAAAGTCGAAGGAAGGTTGGTACGAACCATGCCTGCGATCAAATTGTAATTGTCACCGGTCCACTAAAATAACATTTTATTATTTAGATAAAGAGAAGCCAATTCGGTATACCTAAAATGCCTAGTGAGAACATACCTTATTAAATTAAGAATTATTGTTAATAAATATCTTAAATTTGATTAAATTAGAAAAAATGACCTACTAAAGTTTGGGTAATTTGGACTTTAATGTATCTAATAGGGTATGAGCCTTTAATGTGTAGAGAATTTTAAGGATAATTTCTATTTTTATAATTGACTAAAATAGAAATACCAAAAGATAACAGAGAAATTATCTATATATAGTGGTTATAGTCCTTAGATTACATGTATCATTCTATTCTTTTTTGACATTTCATCATCAGAGAGAGCAGAGAGAAAGTTAAAGGATTTTTTAGGAAAACATGTTAATTTGGAAGACAAATCGCACTATAAAATATCGTTAACTTCATATTCTCTTTATGCTCCTTAATTAATCAAACGATATAGCATTATCTTTCCCAATTGGTCCTTCAATTATTATTAACATTATTGACACAATTTCTTTTTGAATTATGAGTACATAAATCCCTTAATTTTGATAAGTTGCTCCTCGAATGTCTTTTTTTTCTTAACTTTTGTTTCTAACATTAAAATTGACAAACTACCTACGCTTATCGCATAACAATGAAACTTTTTACATAAATAGTTGTAGCACGTGCAAAATGCCATAGTTTTCAGCCGAGCCGGCGAATTAAGATAAGAATCAGATCAAGTTTGGAGTAGAAACTACCCACAACTCAATTGAGGAAACTAGCAACAAGGAAAGCCAACTGAAGCTAAAACAGGAAACAACCTATTCCACAAGTCAACAGCCAATTAACGCGAAGACCAAGTAACTTTAGAGACTAAAATCATCTCTTACAAATAAGGGATCAAGACCACAACTTTAGGGATCCAAATTTCAGCACACATTCTGCTTAATTATTACCTCCCTATCTAAATTCTCTCTCTATATTCCCTTTTCGTCTCTCTCCCTTTAATATTCTTCACTTGTAAACTTTTTATAACTTATGGTGAAACCCCGAGACCCGATGTAGTGGACGTAGTAATTAGGTCAACGAGTACACATTCGTATGTTCATTTATTTTCTTGCACTTTACTTTCTTATTCTATCATTCGATCGTCTCAATAAATCTGACACGTAATCTCAATAAATAAATGTTATTGTATAGCCAAGAAACGTCATCACATTTTTCGTGATCATCATATTTATTAAGATAATGCTTAACTTAAAAACGTGTCATGTTCCCGCATACTATCAATAGCATATAACGAATTGGCTTGTCTTTTATGTCCATAATAACATATTATTATAGTTGACTGGTGACAATTACGTATATTAAATTTGATCACAGGCACGGTTTCTCTTTCTACCAACCTTCAATTATTGCAACTCAAAAAAAAGAAATATACATATATATATATATATATTTATGGCAAGCCCCAACTCCTATAATAATATAAATAATTATGAATTACTGATAACACTAACAAAATATTTTTGAAAACCATTAGGCAACAAAGGACATGGAGTACTAATTCTATCCATATAAAAAAACGTGGCGAACCAAAAAACCTGCTGATCACCCTTAGTGCAAATTTTCTTTTGGTCGTTATCTTTCAAACATTTTGATTCATATTCTTCTTTTTTATTTTATTCTTTTTTTTGTCGCTTTCCAATCCTATTTTGTGTGCAATACATATTTTTCTTCTTAAAAAAATTGGAAATGAGAGCAAGTGGGGGAAAAAGGATAAACATAGCGTGTGGCTATTTTATTTAATAAGCTCTATATATACATACATATATATATATACATAGAGAGAGAGAGAGAGAGAGAGAAAGAGCTTACTTCAAATAATATCACACCAGTACAGAATTCATCATCAGTAATTTAAACATCACAAACAAAAGACTACTTCAAATCATTTAAGGCGTATATTATGGTAATAATATTACCATTATACACCTGTTCTGATTTGACTTTATTTATACAAGCCAGGACATCTTAGAAAGTAGAAGCAGATGTCATTTTATTTACTTAAAATAATTAAGGTTGCATGATGATCATGACCTTAATTAAAGTGACAGGTTAAGGCCAATGGCATCAAGGAGTTCACCGGTTCTTCCACTGAAACCAACAATTAAGCCCTTCTTAATTGGGAGACTAAAAGCAGTGCCACCTTGTTTAGGTCCATATGGTCCATAAGTTCTCAGGTTGGTCTCGAAAGTTAGTGATTGTATGACTGGAGTAGGGCTTGCACCAGCTACGTTATTGACGATTCCACTCACGTTCACCAAATACTCATTTGGGAATTGTAACTCAATCTATTTAAGAAAATCAATGGTTTATGATCAAGATCAATCAACAATTTAACAAAAATCATTAATCAATGATTTACCAAAGTCAATTTTATTTTAAACATACATCTTTTTATTTTATTTTATTTACTTACCAATTAATAAGGAATATTTTATTTATAAAATTTAAGAGAAAAAAAAAAATTAAACAACCTTACCTTTGCAGTTGCGAGGGAGCGAACACTAGGATGTTTTGGCCCATCAAAAGATTTACCATTCAAATCGTAAACCACATTGAAAGTACCAATATAATTGCCATATGTAAGCTCTATACTTCGAACTCCAGTGTAGAACCCATCGTTCCATGCATTACCACCGGGCCCACCCCAGTTTCCTACTGCTACCGTGTTGCTTGCCTACAAAATATTTTTCAAAGGGACTATATATTAATATATAAATAAAAATATCCACACACATTTACATAAATATATATATGTATATATATATATATGTAAAGCTTGCATATACATATATATATATATATGGGAATATATTTATATATATAAGCATTCATGCATACCCATTTCTATAAAATCTAGAGGACCTTACCATTCTATGCGCTATGGACAAGGTGTGGAGAGACTCGAATGGAGAAGTGTGTGGATTTACTCGGCTGGCTTAGCTCTATATATATATAGCACAGTAAAGGTAGATAGATTACTAACGGGAGAGAAAATAAAATTTAATAAAATTTAAGATATTTATTAACAATAATTCTTAATTTAATAAGGTATGTTCTCACTAAACGTTTTGCATATACCGAATTGGCTTGTCTTTTATCTCAGTAATAAAACATTATTTTAGTTGACTAGTAACAATTACAATTTGATCGCAGGCATGGTTCGTACCAACCAATATTCACACTTTTCACACTTTGGATTTGGTCTTGCACATGCCGCTAACTCCAAGACTCCAATTCCAAAATATTTTTAATTTTATAATTAAAAACCAATATTAAATCTTGTGAATTCAACTTGTCTAAAGTAAATACAAGTTATGAAGGAGCGCCAATAAACCATAGTTTCAAGCTCCAATAAAATTAATATTAATTAAACTCTTCCTTTAACTAATTTTATTAAATTCGAAGTTATACTCCACAAAAAATTTAGAATTACACTCTTGAAATTATAAACAATTAATTACTTCTAGTAATTTGAAGCGTTAATTTAATATAACCATTATATCTAGATAGATCCTCTGTAAATAATTCATAATTAAATATAGGTGAAAATTCATTGACCTCTCAAATAACATCTTTATTCATGAGCACCGTTAATTATCTAATAAATAATAAATTTATTAACTTAATCACAAATTAAGCACTTACTATATAAGACCTAATCAATACTCAAGTATATTATTCATATATTTCTTTGTATAAGAAGAAAATAATTTCATCTCGTATATATTCACGTTTTTGTGATCAAATTATAATTGTCACTGGTCAACTAAATAACATTTTATTATTCAGATAAAGACAAGCCAATTCGGTATACACAAAATGCCTAGTGAGAACATACTTTATTAAATTAAGCATTATTGTTAATAAATATCTTAACTTTTATTAAATTAGAAAAAAATGACCCTCTTTCAAAAATGATGGATTATTGATTTAGTTATTTGGTGCTCAATCATTAATTAATCGATATCGATTAATTTTTAATGTGATCACGAATCTTCTTTTGGTCAATTATTGATTGGCTTGATGATATAAATCGCTTGACCAGTTCATCAACCCTTTTTAATGGTTGCCGAAAAAAGAGTTATGATATTACAAAGAGAT